GTATTATCTGTCTCAGACCTGGGAGCCAATTACAACCAGGAGGTAGAGGTACTCATTACTGCCTCTGAGATTGGCTGTTCTTCCCTTTAGTGGAGAGAAGTAGAGCCACAAACCCCACACAACAACTGTGATACTGTGTGGGTATGTGTGTGTGTGTGTCTGTGTGTGTGTTTCTTGAGAATACCTATCATCTATTTTTGTGGTATTGTCCATGGGCTTTAGCTTTGCCATCATCTAGTCTCTGTTCTTTTATGTACAGATTTGGAAAGATTAAATTTTTTTTTGCTGCCATCAACACCCTCTTCTCAGAAATCAGTCTTCCAGTCTTCAGTCAAAAATTTATGATTGGGGGCCTCCCCTGGTGGTGCAGCGGTTGAGTGCAGGGTTGTGAAACTGCCCACAGCCTCTGCAGCAATAGTTCCATCCCCAGCCACTGGCAAGGGTCCCACATGTCGCGCAGACCTCTCCTGCTGCCTGCTGCTCCCCTCAGCAGTGTATTTCGTCGGTCTGCCTGTTCTATTCCCTGCTCTGGCTCTGGTGATTACCCTTCCACGCTTCTGACTGTACCCAGTGTTTGTATAAATAAATAAATAAATCTATAAAAAAATGTGATTGGCACCTTGGAAAAAAATTATGGCCAACAGTATATGTTAATCAAGGGTCAATTTGCCATGGAGGTCAGCCAGTGTTTCCCATACCTCAGCTGAATGCAAGTCCAAGGTCACTCTTAGACTCCTTATATTTTGCATATGAAATGTTGAGACAAATTCTCTTTAAGGAAATGGACTTTTGCTTATCCTCTCTGTCTTTTCCAACATGTTGAGTTTCATATCTTTGGTGAATACAGAAAGTCAAATTGCTCTGCCTTTACTACCCTCTGTGGTAAGGGAAGGTTGCTTTGAGTGTTGGTTCATATGATGTTCTGGACATGACTTTGAATATACTTTGTATGTTTCTAATATCCAATTTCACCCTCAAAGTGAGATTTGGCACTGTTGGGAAAATATTGTCAAGAATGAGCTACAAACCCTAAAGACAGTCCCTAAGTAGAACTTGAACATCTGGAGTAGCAGTGGCCTAGCCCATGGTGATTAGTGTTTTCACCATAGAAAAGGGCAGTGTTTTACTCCAGGTAAGAAACAAAATTCATCTAATCTTTGATTCTGTGTAGCTGCAGGTATAAGAATAAATGTGAATGATCTGAATGAGACTTGTTCACTCATTTGGAATCCCACATCACAGAGTAAACTACTGTAATTTAACAAAAGGGTTCTATTGTATTATTAGGTACTGTAACTTAATAGATGAGTGACTATATGCATGTATACGCACACATTATTTGAACTCTGGTTATCTCTTGAAATCATCACTTTTTATAATAATATTTGTCTTATCGACAAGTTCAGTTCTCATAAATGTTGTGACTGTAAAATTACCTAGATTTTATAAAAATACTGGTGTCCTAGGATCTAGCTCTAATTTTCTGATTTAATCAATCTGTATGTGAGCTCAGGCATTTAGTTTTTTTTTTTTTTTCTTCCACCAGTGTTTTTAATGTACAGCCTCTCCATCTCAGCACAAATACTGGGACTACTTCCTTTAAAGCATAAAGTTAAAAAAAAACACACCAATAATCAAAGCTAAATAATTACATAAATTAATGCCAGTTTTATCAAACTTGACACAAATGTATAAATTTAGCCAAAAAAAAAAAAAAAAAAACCAGAGATTAAAGCCACAGAGCCAGAACTTGAACTAGGCTCCTAATGGAGATTAATATTTTCTTCAGCAGTCTGCCAGCTGAATCATGGTCTAATTAAATAGTTCAGATTTAGTGAGTTTGCATTTAAAGTATTAGCAGATCGGAGAATGGGTAAAGCTAAAATGAGTTAGAATCTTTTCTGTAAATGGGAAGTTAAATTATCATAGTAATTTGATTAAATCATTTTTAAATCTCTCAAGCTAAATCACAGTCTTTAAAGAATAGTTTGAAGTCTTAATTGCTGTTTGTGAGCATATCTCTCTGCTATTTGTTCTCGCCTCATTTCCTGTGACACCCTATAATATATCTCCTGCCAGGCCAGAGTAATGGGGAAGGCAAGACTTGGGAAGGGAAGAAATGGGGACTGAGGTGACCACACAGCTGACTTCAAATGTTTAAAGATCTGCCACATAGAAGAAGGACATTTATCCTGTATTATTCCAGTAGTTAGAACCAAGACACAGGATGGAAGTTGGAGATAGATTTGGGAAAATATGAAGAAGATGTTTCTAATCATTAGTACTGTCCCAGGTAAAGCAGGGTGCCCTGTACACCTCTGGACATGTCTTCATAAAAGTGCCAGAGAGAAGATTCCTGATGAACAAGGAAGGTTGGAGGAGATGAGCTCAGAGGAGAATTTCAGCATTTTTTTATAAAGATTTATTTATTTATTTATTTATTTATTTATTTATTTATCTATCTATTTATTTATCTGTACAAGTACTGGGTAAAGTCAGAAGCGCAGGAGGGTAAGAGAATTCACTAGAGCCAGAGCAGGGAACAGAACAGGCAGACCGACAAAATACACTGCTGAGGGGAGCAGCTGGTACAGCAGGAGGCAGGAGAGGTCTGTCACACCATGTGGGACCCTCGCCAGTGGCTGGGGATCGAACCGGCCCTTCAGAGGCTATGGGCAGCTTTGCAGCCCAGCACTCAACCGCTGCGCCACCAGGGGAGGCCCGAATTTCAGCATTTTTAAAAAGAAAATTGCTGCTTATGTCCAGTGTTATAAATTCTGTAATTTGATTAAAGAAAACACTTTAAGTTGAAGCCTGCTCTGACACTTAGGAGCCCCTGATTTGCAAGGCTGCAGGGAGATGAACTGAGGCCATGTTCTTAAAGAGCTTATCAGAGGACTCCCCCCAAACTGGTACTTGATAAATGGTACATTTAGCATATTTATTCTACTCTTTAATTTTTGGTCTGGTTAGAAAATAGTTGTTTTACCTTTGTCTTTAAAATGCCATTCCTATTTTCCCCACCTATTTGTTGCCCTCTTTTTTACTTAGTGTGCTAAACATTAGACCCAGGTTAGGTCAGGGGAGCCTTCCTGGCCTGTGATGTAGGAGGTGAATCTCCTATCCACTTGGACACTCCCAGCAGCATGTGTCCACACCTGCCTCACCCGCTTCAGACAGCATGTAAGTGTAAAACTAGAAAGAAATGTTGACATCTCTACGGCTATTTCTCTATCACTTACATCAGCAATCTTTAGAAGTTAAGTTTGTTAAGTGTGTTGGTTTCTAAGAGAAGATGCTTACGAAGTTGACAAGATCACCTCACCAGAAGGAATGGGATTAGAGAAAAGCTTCAGGAGAAACAAGTAATAGGGCAGGGGCAGGCTCTGTGTTGGGGAGCAGCCTGGACTCTGCTTCAGGATATCACTGTCAATATTCCATCCTGAAAGAATTCCTCCTTCAAGGAATAGAGAGCATTAAACACTCTAAGCAACCATACTCCGTATCACTCAAAACCCTTTGAAGAAATGTGTCATTAACCACCTAATGTAAATAGTGGTTAACTCACCCCTCATGGGGTAAAATGATTCAAAATGACAATGTCAAAGAAAAAAACAAACAAAATACAAAGCAGTTTTTGGAAAATGTTAATGATTACTATAGATGTTTAAATAATTTGTTGTATTTTTTATCATATTTAGCTGCTTGGTTTTAAATAGTATTTCCTCCTTTTGTGCATGTGATCTGATATTTGAATTATATGAAAGATTAGGCTAACTACATATATCTTAGAGCTCTGCATTCTCAGAGAACTAGAATTATTAAACATGAAGAATCCCCCAAAGACTCCATTATGTGTAATTAACAGATAAACTGTCATCAGAATCAATAAAACGTGCTAAATGATTCAAACTTGTATATAATTAAGTGTCTGTTTTAGAGCTAGAGCTGTAACTTTTATTTTTTTTCCTCCACATCTCACATTTCTCGCAAGAATAATTGTGGCAACCCTGTTAACCCTTTCCTTGCTTGATTGAATTTGATTTTTAAATGAGTCACTTAGGGGCAAAAGTTCACCTTCACCAATGTGAAAAATATTTCAGAACTCATTAATATAAAGACTTCATTTGTTTTTTCAGTAGAGAAGCAGATTATGTAAATATGCTTTCATGAACTGGTAATAGCACACTGAAATCCCTAAAATAATAAGCAATTTATTGTGACTTCTGTATAGTCCTAAACTGAATATAGTATTAGAGTCACTAGTATGTACATGGAGTTCTGACAATATTGGTCATCTTTAATTGACGTTGTGTTAGTTGCAGGGTACATCACAATGATTCAATATTTTTATATATTGCAAAATGACCTCCACAGTCAGTCTGCTGATCATCAGTCTCCTTGTTATGGTTAAGGCAGGGGTCTGCAAACTCCGGCCCATGAACCTCATCCATTTTTGTGTGGCATGATGGAGAAATCAACAGAGTAATATTTCATGAAAAGTGAATATCATATCATATGAAATTCAAATCTCAATAAAAATGTTTTACTGGCCAAAAATTATCTTGGTCATTAGTGTTTTCGTTTTAGGATATATGAGTTTTCTTATGGTCAAGATCAGATTTTAGACAACTGTTCCTCCACAACACTTAGATGAATACTTTGAATAGATGACCTTCTATAATTGTTGAATAAATGGATAAATACATGAATAAGACAATGAATAAAATAGCCAAGATTGTAAACTTTTAACAAATAAAGTCTTACTGAGTCCACACGTTTTAAGTAATGGATCATGTGTGGTAACTCTGTGTTCTAAATCAGTACTGGAAATGATCTACTAAGCTGAAACTTAGGAAAAAAGATTTTGGAAATGTGAGCATCTCTAAACAAATCACAGCTTAGAGAAGTTCAAGAATCCTAGTTGGCTTTTATGCCTTAGCCCTACACGTGTTTACTCTAATTAATACGGTTTTTCAATGTTTTGCTTTGCTGTGCAGATTCCATGCACATAGAAGACGTGGAGGCAGTCCAGAAGCTTCAGGATGTCTTACATGAGGCCCTGCAGGATTACGAGGCTGGCCAGCATATGGAAGACCCTCGCAGGGCTGGCAAGATGCTGATGACACTGCCCCTTCTGAGGCAGACCTCCACCAAGGCGGTGCAGCACTTCTACAACATCAAACTGGAAGGCAAAGTCCCCATGCACAAACTTTTTTTGGAAATGCTGGAGGCCAAGGTCTGACTAAGAGCTTCCTGGGCCCTCCTCTCCTGCACGCAGAAAAAGGGAAAATAAACCCCAGATGTCGAAGAAACTTAGAGTTTAGTCAACAACATCAAAAATTCACAAAGACTGCACTGAAAATTTAGCAGCAAGACTATGAAGCAGCTTTTAGATTCCTCTGTATCTTCCTGCTGAGTTTCTATCTTACCTCATCTGCTTTTCTCCCCATTCTTTGCTCATTTTTCTTCCTTCTTATTTGCTTCTCTCTCCCTTATTCCTCTTCTCCCTCATTTGTTAGCTTCCTTCATTACTGGCTCCTTCTCTTCCCATTTATTTCCCTTCTTCCTGCCTTGCTTCCTTCTTCCTTCCCTCCCTTCCTCGCTTCCTCTCTTATCCCCCTTCTGAATTTTAAATAGCTCAGTTGTAAGGTTTTTTTTTTTGCCTTTCCTTCTCTCCCTCCTTCCTTCTGCTGCTGAACTTTTAAAAGAAGTCTCTAATTGAAGAGAATTGGAAGCCAGCCCTGCCAAAGGATGGAGATCCATAATATGGATACCAGTGAACTTATTGTGAACCATACGATCCCAATGACTAAGGAATCAAAGAGAGAGAACCACCGTACCTAAAAGTACAGTGTGACATAAAGGAATTGACTGAGTGCAGTATTAGATTTCACGGGAGCAGCCTCTAATTCGACAACTTGAGCAACGTGGCATCGGCTGCTTCTTATCATTGCTTTTCCGTGTAGATCAGTTACAGCCATTTGATTCCTTAATTGTTTTTTCAAGTCTTCCAGGTATTTGTTAGTTTAGCTACTATGTAACTTTTTCAGGGAATAGTTTAAGCTTTATTCATTCATGCAATACTAAAGAGAAATAAGAATACTGCAATTTTGTGCTGGCTTTGAACAATTATGAACAATAATGAAGGACAAATGAATCCTGAAGGAAGATTTTTAAAAAAAATGTTTTGTTTCTTCTTACAAATGGAGATTTTTTTGTACCAGCTTTACCACTTTTCAGCCATTTATTAATATGGGAATTTAACTTACTCAAGCAATAGTTGAAGGGAAGGTGCATATTATCACGGATGCAATTTATGTTGTGTGCTGGTCTGGTCCCAAACATCAGTTTCTTAACTTGAGCTCCAGTTTACCTAAACGTGCACTGACACGAAGGGTTAGATTGCACCTGCAGGGGCTCTGAGAAGTCACCTGTGTAAGCACCGCCCTTGGAATGCAGATCTGTAGAATTATCAGGAGTGCCCCTCTCTGCGTGGAGGTACAGTTGCCATGTGATTTCTAGCTGCCAAGGTGGTTAGGAAGGAGATACTGCCTGCCTGCTTGCAAAGTTACTGACCTTGTCCCAGAAGGAGCTGTGAGCCAGTATTCATTTAAGAGGCAATAAGGCAAATGCCAGAATTTGGGAAAAAAAATATATATATATATCATCAAAGACCGCAGACGCCTGACCAAATTCTAAATCCTAATCTCTATGAGTTTATGCATTTAGGAATGTTTGTTTAAATTAATCTGCAGTTTTTTACCAAGAGCTAAGCCAATATATGTGCTTTTCAACCAGTATTGTCACAGTGAGAAAGTCAGTCAGGTTCCAGACTGTTAAGAGGTGTAATCTAATGAAGAAATTGATTAGATGCCCCCGAAATCTGCAGTCACTGAATAACCAATAAACAGTAACCTCCATCAAATGCTATACCAATGGACCAGTGTTAGTAGCTGCTCCCTGTACTATGTGAACAGTCTTATTCTATGTACACAGATGTAATTAAAATTGTAATCCTAACAAACGAAAGAAAATGTAGTTCAGCTTTTCAACGTTTCATGTTTGCTGTGCTTTTCGGATTTTCTGTTGCATTCAAAGACTGTTGTTCTTGTTCTTGTGGTGTTTGGATTCTTGTGGTGTGTGCTTTTAGACACAGGGTAGAATTAGAGACCATATTGGATGTACAATTCCTCAGGAGACTCCAGTAGTATATTCTCTTCCTTACCAGTAATAAGGTTCTTCTAATACTAATTAAGAGATCGAAGCTCCCAACAAGTATTCATCATGAACAGATACACATCGAAATCATAATAATATTTTCAAAACAAGGAATAATTTCTCTAATGGTTTATTATAGAATACCAATGTATAGCTTAGAAATAAAACTTTGAATATTTCAAGAATATAGATAAGTCTAATTTTTAAATGCTGTATATATGGCTTTCACTCAATCATTTCTCAGATGTTGTTATTTACTCGCTCTGTGTTGTTGCAAAACTTTTTGGTGCGGACACGTTTCCAAAACTTGCTACTTTGTGTGCTTTAAACAGAATACCTTGGGTTGATGTTATCAGCCTAGTGCTAGGAATACTGTGTATCTATCATTAGCTATATGGGGCTATATCGTAGATTGTGGTTTCTCAGTAGAGAAGTGACTGTAGTGTGATTCTAGATAAATCATCATTAGCAATTCATTCAGATGGTCAATAACTTGAAATTTATAGCTGTGATAGGGGTTCAGAAATTGGCACATCCCTTTAAAAATAACAACAGAAAAAATACAACTCCTGGGAAAAAAAAGGTGCTGATTCTATAAGATTCTTTATATATGTAAGTGTTTAAAAAAGATTATTTTCCAGAAAGTTTGTGCAGGGTTTAAGTTGCTACCATTCAACCACACTCTCTATATAAAAATATAATAATACAATGTAGGCATTGCTTTCACTGTATCGCATTAAAGTACCTGGGCTTCAGAAATAAGAGCCAATCAACTGAAAACAGGAGGTGGAGATGTGGAAAAAGAACCAAGTGCGATTTTTAGTTTTCAGTTTAAGTGCTCTTGGCATTACAAAAAAAAAAAAAAAAATCAAGTATCTCACAACTAGGACACAACTAAAAACGTAGATAAAAGAACTGCACGGGCTTTAGGGTAAATGCTCAACTTAAACCTCACTGGAGGTAAGTTTTTTCAAGTTTCAAGCAAGACCATTTACTTAATGTGAAGTTTTGGAAAGTTATAAAGGTGTATGTTTTAGCCATATGATTTGAATTTTCTTATTTTGCTTCTTTTAGGTTTGTTCTTATTTAAAGCAATATGATTGTGTGACTACCTATAGTTACACTTGTGTTTCAATCAGATCAGATTGTTGTATTTATTCCACTATTTTGCATTTAAATGATAACATAAAAGATATAAAAAATTTAAAACTGCTATTTTTCTTATAGAAGAGAAAATGGGTGTCGGTGATTGTATTTTAATTATTTAAGCGTCTCTGTTTACCTGCCTAGGAAAACATTTTATGGCAGTCTTATGTGCAAAGATCATAAAAGGACAAAAAATTTAAACTGCTTATAATAATCCAGGAGTTGCATTATAGCCAGTAGTAAAAAGAATAATAATAATAATAAAAAAAACCATGTCTATAGCTGTAGATGGGCTTCACATCTGTAAAGCAATCAATTGTATATTTTTGTGATGTGTACCATACTGTGTGCTCCAGCAAATGTCCATTTGTGTAAATGTATTTATTTTATATTGTATATATTGTTAAATGCAAAAAGGAGATATGATTCTGTAACTCCAATCAGTTCAGATGTGTAACTCAAATTATTATGCCTTTCAGGATGACGGTAGAGCAATATTAAACAAGCTTCCACTTTTGATTGCTCTTTTGTATTGCGTTTCTTTTTTTCTTCTCCCACCAAAGAACCCAATCAATAAACACTGTCCTTTGTTGCTTCCATTCAAAGAGTATCTCTGAGAACCTGTTCCCTAAAAATAAAGTCGGAGTTTAAATAAGAGCTATATAAAGGCTTGTCAGGATGAATTCTAGGGTGCCAAGAGACATTTTGCATATTTAAGAGTATGCAAAGTGTCTGATGGCACATTAGAATTCATTCTGACAAGCCTTTATATAGCTCTTATTTAATCTTAAAGCATCTCCACATCATCCTGCATTACTCAAAATCATCGCCTCTGTGTCAATGTCATAACAGAAAACTTTCCCCCTATTTTAAGATCATATTAAAACCTGGTAGAGATACCTATTATTTCCCTCCATCCACAATTAAATCCTGTGCTTGCACAGAGCTCCTCTGAGAGCTGCAGGCTTTGGGGAGCAGCAGGGGAGTTGCTGTCCACATTTCCTGAAGGGGCACTGACCAGCAGAGCTTATGGGTGGGTGTGCATGAGGAGGGGGAACTGTCGTTGAATTCATGTGGGTTCCATCGCCCTGCTGACAGCAATGGCCTCCCCTTGCCTTTTTCACTGGAAGAGGTTATGGCCGTTGCTGTTCAGGGTCAAGTTGAACTTCCACTGGACCCTTCTGGAGCCATCACAGAAGTGCTAATATGCGCCTGCTTGGCTTCTCTGCCTATCTTGAGAGTGTTCTGTCACTGTGTTTGTCCACCGTATTTCTCACCTTTCAGAGATGGCTGGTTCTCTAGAGAAGCAAGCAGATGACTCAAAGGCCATGAAACTGAAACCGACTCAGGGGCAGGAGATTATCCAAGTCACTAAAATGCACAGTGAACTCAGAGTTGTCTCCTGCTTTAGTGGCCTTTGCCAGGCAGTTCTACAGACAATCTGTTGTTTCAATTTGAGTATTTTCAAAGTACTTGCATGAAGATAATGACAGATACATGTCTCAAAAAGATATGTCTATAATCTTGCAATGGCGTTTTTGTTTAAAAATATTTGTTACACACATGGGTGCTTTTAAGCCCTTAACGTCAAAATCCACTCTTGCTGGTTTTTATGATCTAGAGTTGTTTCAGAGCTCTGTTTCTGACATATTTATCATGGACGCCTTAGGTGTATAAGAAGATAACCAAGGAGGAGGTTGACATTTTAGCATTTGGCATTTTATCAATAATACAAACAAGCTCAAATGGTTTGTGTACTTGTGTCCAGGAACCACTTTTATTTTCACCTGTTGCTTAAAAATGATTCCCTCCCCTTAAACTAGTCATTCCCAAATTTGTCTGTGCATTATTATCTCCTGAAGTGATTTTAAAGTTCCTGATGCTCATATCTCACCCCAAATTATTGGGGTTTGATTGGTCTGAGTTTTGACCTGGGCTTTGGAATAGATTTTTATTCGTTTGTTTGTTTTTTAAATCTCCAGGTGACTCTACTATGAAGACAAGATGAGAAAACCGCTGCTTTGCAATTTTATACTTTAAACCAGGTTGTGTCCTTAAAAAAAAAAAAAAATCACTGGCTCTGAATTTCGTGTGTGCATGTGGTGGTGGGGGTGTTAAATTTGTTTTTGTTGTTGCTTTTTTGTATTTTACTATCAAGACAAAAGAAGGTAACCTGTGTTTTTAATTCACAAAGTTAATGAAATATACTTCCCTTGTCTTGGCCTCCACTTTCCATGCCACTTCTGCCCTTCCCTCCAGATCCTCCAGCTGTATTCTGCATAAGGAGAGACCTGCTCAAGAAGGCCTGCAGAAAATCTCACCATATTTTTTGTTCCCTTTAAGCTTGCTTATTCTGCTTATTCATGTACCACAGAATTAATATAGATATGAGTCGAAATGCCTGTTTTTTTGCCTACCCAAAGACCAAAGGGCAACAAAACTGATTTTGTGGAGTGACTTCTCTTACCTCTATTTTCCAAAATGTAATTTAGAGAAAAGGTAGAAATGAATTAGAACAGATAGAATAATTCATTTTGGGCGTATGCAAAAACTTGAGGTACACTTTGCTGACTATGAAATTGAATTTGTGATTAAATGGCAAGAGAAAAAAGGAGAGATGCTTAAGGCTTTTGTGTCCTCCATGGTGGTTTATACCCTGAATGGATATTTCCATAGTTTAACAGATACAGAAATAAGTGTTTAACTCAGTGTTTCTGGTCCTTTCAAATCCAAGTCTAGCTTCTTCCTGCCTCTTGGAAGTGTGGAGAAAACAAATTAAACAAGTGATGGTAGATGGATGGCCTACTGCATCTTATTATGAAACAAAATAGAAAAGAAAGGAATTTCAAAATATAATCCCCCTTTCCCAGGAGTATTTGTCTTGTTCTCCATGAAGTTAAAGGTCTGAAATAATGTGCCCATCAGGGGCTCAATGTTGCATGTCCATGCCAGTTGGTCCAAGGGCTTGTTATGATGGTAATGACCTCCTGAAAGGAGAGCTTGGCTTGCAACAATACAATTGCTACCAGCTCCCCCGCTGGGAGAAATATTTTATTATTGTCAAATGTCCTCCATAGAGATTTGTTTTGCCTGTTCCTGTTTAAATTAAATTCAAAGCAGAACTGCATTACTATTTCTCTGGAGTATATTTGAGATAAACAACTGGTCTCAAAATTTAGGATTCCTGGCTAGTTCGAATTTGTTTATTAGCAGAAAAATTACAATAGGTGACACCGTAGCTGCAGGAATATTATTATTGCAGCCACACAGGAGATTTACGTACTGAGTCCATGGCTAAGAGCAGGAAAACTCTTTTTTTCATTACAGATGCCAGCCAGATTAATAATTAACTCTTTTATCAATGGTGCAACCTTAAAAAAAAAGTCTCAGTAGCTAATGCATTGCCACAATGTGCCACAGAATCCAGCCATGAGACAATTTGCTACAAGTAAGAAGTGCTTTGAAACTCAGGGTCATGAACCACGTCTGGGTGCATAAAAATATTTTTTAAACAGCAGCATCATATAGACAGCACCAAAGTCCAGACCTCATATACTTTTCTTAGAATTATTCTTTGAAAGGATTGAAAAGAATGTTCTGGACTAGATGGAATTAGTTGGATCATTTTGCCAGAGGCCTTCTAATGCAGCTTTGACAAGGGATTCTGAAACAGCAAAGCCCTAGTCAATACCAATTTTGTTACATACAGTTAAATTAGAACTGGACCTTATTCTACTTGAAGTGCTGGGACATTTGTGAACACCACAGTGCTTGTGCTTTTCACAGCCTACTGAACTTTGGAGGATAGCTGGTTTCAGGAAGTGCAAGCTAGGGAGGGATCACAAAGAGGCCCTAACAGGAAAACATACCAGACTATCAAGAGCATTGAATGCACTATTCATACTCCAATTCAATCTGCTATGCTCAGGTGAATTTCACAGTTTCTTTGGGAAGTGAAGAACTGCTGTTTTGTATTTTTTTTTTCAAGCACAGAAAACTAAAGTCATAAGAGCGATTACTAAAAGGAATTCCAGAGCTGGACAAGTGATGGCTAATTTTCCCTTTACATATGAGCTTTCATATGATGACAAATGAAAAATACTAAATGTCCATGTTAAAAATGATATCCTGAAGATACTTTCATGTTAATCTCTCTGAGATTCTTCTCCAGCCTTTTATTTTGCCTTGGTCTTCCTTTTGTGAATATAATCAATTGACCTGTCCTAAAGTATCAACTCTATTTGGACTTATCAATCAAAGCAGACATATAACCTATACTTTAAATGTGAGGTTGAAACACATTTTTGGGATGGATGTTAAGTAAAAGGATGGTTATGGGTTTGAGGATGTTTTTACAATTGGAAATTTCTGTGGCACATTATGGCCTTTTTTTGGTTGAATGACAGCTGGTGGTGTCAAAACAGGCTGGGGGAGAAGATCATAAAGACAGAGCACGCCACAGGAGTGACAGATCAGGTGCCCAGTCAGTTCCTGGGAGGGACAGATCCCAGCTCTGCCACTAGGCATTCCAGTAAGGCTGCTACTGAAGTCTATCCAGCATCGCTAAGTAAATAAATGGGGACACACATACTATCAGAGTTGTCATTAGAATTAAATTATATCATCAAAGGAAACACCTTGCACCTAATAAAGAAGACCAAGTGGTGAAGCTATTTTTTTTTTTTTTTAACTTTCCCAGTTGAAACTAGAGAAGAGTAGTAAACAATTGAACCGAAACTGGGTGTCAATGCCCTTAGGGCATCGAGCAAATGCCAAAGTTTGGGGCGTCCAGGAGGAGAAGCTGCTCTGGGGAAGGTGAGTGGACAATCAGAGTCAGCTTGATTTGACTGCAGCTTTGACCAGAAGCCAGTCATGCCCTAGCTGAGTGTTGGGCACTTGCTAGACCTTGGCAGGCATCATAAAGTTCACAAGCCCCAGGGGCTTTTGGCTAATACTATCTCCATTAATAGGTGCATAAAAGGAGGCTCCCAAGAACTTAAGGAACTCCCTGGGGCCATCCCACCACAATGCAGATTTGGCTCCTGAGGGTATCTCTGCTTTTTGAAATTTCAAATGAACCCAATAGGCTTGTAACAAAGCCCCACCTTAGTGCTGTTTTTTCACTAACAGGAAGAAACTCCAAAAGGTGGAAAGCACAGCAGCCTCGCTGGGGGTTGCACATCGGTGTTCTAGAAGCATCTGCCACCCAAACCCAGGACTGCAAGTGGCTGCCTCGGAGCTCCTGCCCAGCCCAGGACTGCTTTCTGCAGGTTGTGCCAGTGCCCTCCTCTTGCTTTGATGGCGTCCTCCGTTTCCACGATCTGATGTGTTATCTGGTATGATTTGTTAAGTTACTTTTTAGGTCTGGGGCAAGCAAAACGTTTCCCATAGGAACAAATGGTCTTGGCGCCTTTGCTTTGTGTCCTCTGGACTCAGGAGAGGTTTCGGAGACCATCTTAAAGCTTTCCCCGTAGTTGTGCCTCCCCTGTGGCGCAGCGGGTTTCATGCTGCGCTTTGAAGCTGTCCGCAGCC